ACACCATGCTATAGACTAAAATTTTTCGCAAGTCAATGTCCTTCGCCAGGTTTTTCCATCATTTCCTTAATTCGCAATAGACCTATTCTGCTGTGTTAACTTTCCTATTACGCGCACGCTTTTTCATTATCGCCCAAAGATTTTCGATTGGATTAATGTCAGGACTCTGACTAAGCCACTGGAAGCGTTGGGAGTTATTAAAGCAAAACGTTGCCCAACAAAATACGAAATCATTTTTTGACTTGTATAATGAACATTGTTGTACGTTACCCACTTTTCATCGCCTGTTGGGATCTATTTAAGGAACGGTTAGCTACAGTTCAAGGCAAAAAAATGAAGGCACTCATAGAAAGACGATTTTTGTATATTTACAAAGACAAGTGAGTAACAAAATTCGTTTATTATTATTACAAGATATAAATACAGGTGTACATTTGTACATTATACAAGTCAAAAAAATGATTTAGTATTTTGTTGGGTAACATTTTGCTTTAATAACGGCCTTAATTCTTCGTGACATGCTAGAGGATATATTCATTAATATAATACGGACAGCAATGTTCAACAGAAAAGTCAGTGGATTGACAATTATAAATCTCCAAAATCAACCTCTTCAAAGAAATTTAATGTACGTGTGATTGAATCGTCGTGGTATTATTTATTTAGACTTTTAAAAGTGCACTTTAACTGTAAATGAACATTTATACTTCCAGCAGCTGCAACGTTTCCATAAAGATTTAGCCAAAAAGCATCCTGCTCTGGAGAATAGGAAAATATTTTCGCAAAACCAAGTAACAAGAATAACACAGGAAAAAATGAAACTAAGTCACCTGACCAACTGATTTTTAAAATAATTTCCAACCAAGCAAGGCGATTATGCCACTAGGATGCAGGGGTTGCAGGGCATAAAAGAGAATGAAAATACTTTAGTGAGGAGAAGTGAGGAAAGGACAATAAATTGCATTAAAATATATGAGCCAACAATAAAGAAATCCTTATTATTTACCATTTTATAAACTTTGAAAACGCCACACGAAAATCCAAAGGTGCATTGGGATAGCGAAAGATGCCTTCGAAAAGCAAATCAAAGGATTAAGAAACAGGAAAATTTTATTAGAAACAAACAAAAGAGTACTAAACTTATGTAATATTGATCCTCCTATAAGGCATTGGATTATGCACCATCTCATCATTGAAAATGTAAAATTACGGCAATGAAAAACAACGCACAACTTTGTATAAATACTTGTACTAATGAAAAACATATAGTTTTGTACTACTTGCACCCCTGAAGAAGATCTTCGAAGAAGATCGAAAGTACTTGGGGAAATGAAAATAAAAGAAATTTAAACAGATATATATATATATATATATATATATATATATATATATATATATATATATATATATATGAAATAAATTGATTATACAAAGAATTAATAAGCAATGTTAATGTAATTAATGGCAAAATCACTTCACTAACAGGCTTAATAAGACATTAACTTACTATTAATTCCCTGAATAACGCATTCCTTATAGTTGAATTGTTATTAAGATTGGGTTATTAGAAACAAACAGAGTACTAAACTTATGTCATATCGATCCTCCTTTATGGCAGTGAATTCTGGATCATCTCATCACTGATAGAGAAGAGACTTAAGGCAACAGAAATCTGGTTCTACAGAAGGATGCTAAGACTGAACAAATGAGCAATGATCATGTTTTAGAGGAGATTGAAACAAAAAGAACACTTATGCATCAGAAAGAGATAAATTAAATTTTGAGAGTACATAATGTGGAAAGCAGGTTTGGAGAATTTGACACTCACAAGACATTTTGAAGGCAAGAAGCCCAGAGGAAGCCCAGTGCATAACCTACTTAAGAAGCTTGTGTAAATGGTTGGCAGAACAGGTATTAGTAGAGATAACAGAAAGACAAACTTTACTAAGGGTTACGAAAGACAGGAAGTAGTGGAGAGCTGTCTTCATAAAGCAAATTTTAATTTTTTTTGTTTAATCATTTCTTCCCAAACAAGGCAATAATGCCACTTGGGTGCAGGGGGTTATAGAGAGTGAAAGAGAATGAAAAGAGTTTAGTGAGAAGAAGTGAGGAAAGGACAACAAAGAAACAGAATTCAGTAAGACAGAAGATGGCGATTGATGTTGCATTTAAATTTTTGAAGATTGTAGGCGCCAAGTAAGCAAGAAATCGGAAGGCAGGTCCACAGTTGATAAGTGCGAGAAAAGATAGAATTAGAATAAAAGTGGCGGTGGCATTCAGTTAGTTTAACAGTAGAGAATGCGATAGAATGAACAGAGCATTGTTCTAGCATCTTTATCAATGGCTGTCTTCTTTTGATCTGAGAACAATCCTCGGCAGATCGTTAATAAAAAAGCAGAAAGAGGTTTAACCTTGGGGATGCTTGCCTTGATTTTATTAACTTCAGAAGACTTGCTATTCATGGCCACTTTCATTGACCTGCCTGAGAAAACGGTAATAATGATTGCATAGATTCTTCCAAAGGTCGTAATTATATTTTTTAAGCATTTTACCCCAACCAAATCGGGAGTAACATTAGCACGCATGGGGTTACAGAGAGTGGGAGCAAGAGAAAGACAGGGGATAGATCAAGGCATCTGGAGATATCGATTGACATTGCATTTGAATATTTAGAGATTATAGCTATCAGGGAAGCAAGTAAGAGGAAGGGAGTTCCACAAGGGATAAGTGCGAGAAAAATAGTATTAGAATAGAAGTGGTGGTTGCATCTAGTTGCTTCAACAGTAAAAACGGTGAGACCTAGCTACCAATTCATGTAGTCGAGGAACTGAGCACATCAGGACAATTGCCATGGAAATATTTGTAGAAAAGACAGAGAGAAGCCATGTCACGTAGCTGAAAAGTGACTGAAGTCGAGAGGCCAGGTTAGGATCTAACACGTTACAGACACTTCTTTGAAAGATAGAAAATAGGAACACCAGACCAGATTTTTTTAAGCATTTCACCCCAAGCAACGAGACAGTGCCACTAGCACGCAAGGGGTTACAGAAAATGGGAGCAAGAGTAAAACGCGTGAAAGAGAAAAAGGTAAAGAAAAGGACGGGGAATAGATCAAGGCATCTGGAGATGTCGATTGACATTGCATTTGAATATTTAGAGATTATAGCTCTCAGGGAAGCAAGTAAGAGGAAAGAAGAAGTCGTTAATGACAAATGCAAAGACAATAAAGAAACAGGATTCAGGAAGACAGAAGATGGCGATTGATGTTGCGTTTAAATCTGATTGTAGGTGGCAAGGAAGCAAGAAAACAGAAGGGAATTCCACAGATGATAAGTGCGAGAAAAGATAGAAGTAGTGGTTGCATCTAGTTGGCTCGACAGTAAAAATTGGTGAGACCTAGTTGCCAACTCTCGTAGCACGCTTGAATTCAGGAAATCGAGGAACTAGGCGAATGAGCTCATCAGGATAATCGCCATGGAAATATTTGTAGAAAAGACAGAGAGAAGCCATGTCACGTAGCTTAAAATGTGACTGAAATCGAGATGCCAGGTTTGGATTTAACACATTACAGACACTTCTTTGAACTTTGTCAAGAATCTAAAGATATAAAACAGGAACACCAGAACAGATATTTTTAAGCATTTCACCCCAAGCAAGGCGGGAGTGTCACTAGCATGCAAGGGGTTACAGAGAATGGGGGCATGAGTAAAGAGTCATGATAGAGGAAAGGATGAAGAGAAGGACAGGGAATAGATCAAAGCATCTGGAGATGTCGATTGACATTGCATTTAGATAGATTATAGCTATCAGGGAAGCTAGTAAGAGGAAGTGAGTTCCACACATGTGAAGTGCGAGACATGAAGCTATTGGAGCAGAAGAGGCGGCTACATTTAACCGTTTCGACAGTAAAAGGGTGGGACTGAGATGCCAACCTAGTGGCACGTTTAAATTCATGCAGTTTGGGAACCAGTGAAAGTAGCTTGTCGGAGCAGTTACCGTCAAAGTGGTTGTAGAAAAGACAGAGGGAGGCGACGGTATGCCTGTGATAGAGCGACTGTAAACGAGATGCCAGATCAGGGCCAACCACATCGAATATCTGTCTCTGGATTTTGTCGAGGACCTTAAGACGAACAGCGGGGTCTCCAGACCTTATATGACAGCAGAATTCAATGCAAGGGCGATTGTTTGATTTATAGATTTGAAGGATGGACTCGTGCGAAAAAAGGGAAGTAAAGAAACTGGAAAGTAAGAAGCAGCAAGGCGTTTGCTGTAAAGTCTTGCCTTTTCCGATCGCTGTAAAAGATTTTGATGCGTGGGTGAAGGTAAACCTTCTCTAATGATAACCAGATTCAATAATTCATCGAAAACTTTTTATTACCTATGGAATTTTATTCAAAAGTTATTGAAGCGCTGATAAGAGGCATAAAGTCACTGCAAATAATGGTGAATTTATAATTGAATAAAACTGTATTGGGGGGGGGATAAAATGGATAAACAAAAGCAGCAAAAGTAATTTATAAATAATAGAATCAATAAAGATAACAATTTTCTTTGGTGGCGCCAATTTCTTAAAGTATCTATGTTATTCACAGACTGACTATCGTCCTCATCTTGAATGTTGTTATTAATAGCCCGCTAATGTATATAATCGTAACTCCTCATCCCAAACATTCAGACAAAAATACCTTAAATATTAGTTTAATTCAACAACAATCAGAAAAATGTTTTAGTTTCGAGTTCCTTTACATCGGAGGAATTATATTTTTAAACTTTAAATCCTTGAATGCGTAGAGAGCATTGCAACACGAACAGAACTTGTTACAGTCGTAGTGGAAGCGGAATAATCCAAAATGGATGGTCTTGTATGTTTGTTGTATTTCAGTTTAATCCCAGTAACTGAGATTTCAAGTGAAATTATATTTAACAAGTGGATATTTCGCTTTCATCTAAATGAGTCATATTTGAAATGCACAAACTCAAAACCAAGGAGAAAAGGAATATTATTCAGTTTCTATAATTAGCGTTGTTCCACGATTCTGGCACATGGAGCGTGATAGATTTTGCATGGAATTAGCCAGTTTACCAAATTCTCCCCATTTCTGCATTTGGAGCGAGTTCTGCAGACTTTTTAGTTCTTCCACATCTTTAAGTTGTGAATTTAAATTCTGCGCTTTGGACTGCAGCTGCTCCACCTCTCCTCGTTGGTAGCAAAGTTCCGATTCCAGTAGCGATGTCCGGTCTAACAACGACGATCTTTCGTCCTGGAGTTCTTTGATATCAGCAGATAGTCTCTCTCGAATAGACTCCAGCTCACTGACCCGGCTCGTTGCAGAAGTCAGCATTTTATCCAGGCGTTCGTTCTGCGACTCCTGAGCGTAAAGGTTTTCCATCGTCTCCTGTAGCTTGCTGTCTAACTCGGATACTTTCTGCTTGGATTCCTGCAGTTCTTTCCTTATCGCTTTGATATCGTTTGCCATCGAAGAGATCTTATCAGCGGCCATCTCTCGTTGTTTCTCTTTCTCGGCCAAAACACCCCTCTCATGTTGCAATTGGTTTTGCAATTTGTTGACCTCTTGATCCAGGAACGAGTTCTCTTTGATAAGTTGGCCGTTTTTCTCGGCAAGGACGTCCCGATTTGACTCCAGCTCTTGGATCTTTATATCAGCGCTGGAGAGGTGTTCTTTAAGGGCTTTCTGCTCCTCTCGCATTTCAGAAGCCATCTGGTTAAATATATCATGTGACTTGTCGTATTTATCTTGGAGTTCGTTCATTTCCGTTTCGCGTCTTTGCAGGCCGCTCCGGGTGTCCTCAAAGTTGGCTTTTACTGACTGCAGCTGGTGGTCGCGCTGGGCCATCTGGTTCGCTAACATCGACTTGTCCATCTGGAGCTGACGAAGATTGTTCTCGTTCTCCCTCACGTCGTCTGTCAACCGATTTATTTCCAATTCGCATTGTCTTTTCTGCTGCCGTTCGTTGTCCAGCTCCCTGCGCAATCTTTCCAGGTCGTCCTGGGCTTTACGCAGGTTCTTGGCGTGCATTTGTTTCTCTTGGTTAAGCATTTCATCGATTTTCGCTTTCTCCGTGGATAGCCGCTTGAGATTAGCATCCTGGCATTTAACGTTCTTAATCAGCCGCTCCAAGTCGTCGTTGATATCGGAATCACATTGATTGTAATCGGAAGTGATGCCACGTGAAGTGTAACCCCGCGAAGTGTAATCACGAGAACTGTATGCACGGGAAGTGTAAGTTGGAGACGTGTAACCACGAGATGTGTGATCGACCGTCTTCGTAAAAGACGTGTCATACTTACCTGGTGTGCCATACATGCTTTTATACGATGTAGATTTTAGTGCACTAGATCTGTCATGTACACTCGGCTTGTCATAGACCGGAGATTTAGGTATATCAGATTTGTATTTTCCGTAATCTTCAGGTTTTAATGAAGAATAAGTTCTTGGCGATTCTCTGGTGGCTTTGTTTGTATAAGTGCTTTCACGCTTGTCCCAACTGGAACCTATCGCTTTGTTTCTCAGGTAAGACTGATCGTCGAAGTTACGGTCTTCATCCATTTTCCTGGAGTCATCCTGTTCCAGAGCTCGCTTCCACAGATACTTCGATTCCATTTCTAGATAGTGAATCTGTAACTGTAGATTCTTTATGTACTCCGACTCGATCATGTTCAGTGGTCCAACTCTGGTGGGAGTGCATTTTGGCTTTGTTTTACTAGGGCGTATATCCTCACAGGAACAACAAGGACAACAAGGCTTTCGGTGACTTTTCTTGCTCACGGAACTATTTCGAAACCCTTTCATCTCAGAATACGGCACTGGCATCATCTAAAGACTGGCCTATAATCCGAGTCTGATTAAGATGTCGGCCAGCCGCAATATGGTGGACGTCATGTGTATTCGTGACGTCATACAGTGTCATGACGTCAGTAGCGGTTCCAGTTGAAAAACGTTTGCCATTTGGCGAGATTAACGCAGTCCTTAAAGCAGCATAAATCTTGTGTGTGAAAATTTTAGCTAACTTTTATTTCATCGTAGTCAAGGCGTCCGACATTGATGCCCGGGTCCACTCTGTCTGTCAAATAGGATTTGGCAACTCAGTTATATGACGATTCCATATGAAAAAAAGCAAATCGGCATCACAGGATTTCTATTGCAACTACCAGCTGCAATACAGTTGATATAAGTAAACTTTTTCCGAGTGGCCAACGCGCCTTGTACAGGGGGAACTTGACTGTAAAAAAAAGGACGGTAAGGTATTATGTAAGTATTAAAATTAATATAAAATTCCTTTTTTTGTAAAAAGTAATATAATAATTTAATACAATTTGTTATTTTATTTTATTTATTATTTACCAGATCTAACAAGAAAATTGTCAAAATCGTTTACATTATGGGCTAATTATCCATTTCACAAAATGTTTAACAAAACTTTCGCATTTGGCAAGATTAACGCAGTCTTCAAAGCGTTATAAATCTTGTGTGTTAAATT